GGTGGGGGGAGCCGTATAGCGAGTTTCGGTCATAATTTTAAATGTCTGTATTAGCGGAACGCCGTAAAACGAAACGCCGTAAAGCAGGGCACTACTGTACCTCCAGCTCCCCATCTACTAACTACCCTACTCTGCTTTTAACTGACAAATCCATTCGTTCCCTAGGCTTTCTTAACTTTTTTTTTTTTTTCAACAAATAGGCCGTCTCCCACCGAGGCAGGGTGACCTAAAAAGAAAATACTTTCATCATCATTCAACACTTTCACCTCACTCACACATAATCACTGTTTTTGCAGAGGTGCCCAGAATACAAGAGTTTTGAAGTATATACGTATAAAAATACACAATACATTCCTCCAAACTGCCAATATCCCAAACCCCTCCTTTAGAGTTCAGGCATTGTACTTCCCATTTCCAGGACTCAGTCTGGTTATATAGAATAACCTGTTTTCCTGAATCCCTTCACTAAATATTACACTGCTCACACTCCAACAGCTTGTCAGGTCCCAAATACTATTTGTCTCCATTCACTCCTATCTAACACGCTCAGGCACGCTTGCTGGAAGTCCAAACCCCTTGCCCACAACACCTCCTTTACTCCCTCCCTCCAGCCTTTTCGAGGACGACCCTTACTCTGCCTTCCTTCCCCTACAGATTTATACGCTCTCCATGTCATTCTACTTTGATCCATTTTCTCTAAATGACCAAACCACCTCAATAAACCCTCTTCAGCCCTCTGACTAATACTTTTATTAACTCCACACCTCCTAATTTCCACACTCCGAATTTTCTGCATAATATTTACACCACACACTGCCCTTAGACAGGACATCTCCACTGTCTCCAACCACCACCTTGCTGCTGCATTTACCACCCAATCTTCACACCCATATAAGAGTGTTGGCACTACTATACTTTCATACATTCCCTTCTTTGCCTCCATAGATAACATTTTTTGCCTCCACATATACCTCAATGCACCACTCACCTTTTTTCCTTCATCAATTCTATGATTAACCTCATCTTTCATAAATCCATCCGCTGACACGTCAACTCCCAAATATCTGAAAACATTCACTTCTTCCATATTCCTCCTCTCTAATTTTTCATCTAAATAATTTGATACTCTCATCACCTTATTCTTTTCTATGTTCACTTTCAACTTTCTACCTTTACACACACTCCCAAATTCGTCCACTAACCTTTGCAATTTTTCTTAAGAATCTCCCATAAGCACAATATCATCAGCAAAAAGTAACTGTGTCACTTCCCATTTTGTGTTAAATTCCCCATAATTTAATCCCACCCTTCTCCTGAACACCCTAGCATTTACTTCTTTTACAACCCCATCTATATTTTTTTTTTTTTCAACAAGTCGGCCATCTCCCACCGAGGCAGGGTGACCCAAAAAGAAAGAAAATCCGCGAAAAGAAAATACTTTCATCATCATTCAACACTTTCACCTCACTTACACATAATCACTGTTTTTGCAGAGGTGCCCAGAATACAACAGTTTAGAAGTACAGTGGACCCTCGCCTAACGATATAAATCCGTTCCTGAGAGCTCATCGTTAGCCAAATTAATTTTCCCCATAAGAAATAATGGAAATCTAATTAATCTGTTCCAGACAGCCAAAAGTATTAATTTTTTTTTTTCATAAAATATACATTTCCCTACAAAGAAAACATTGAGACATGCACAATAACTACATAAATGTTAAAATGACACTTACTTTTATTGAAGAGTATTGATGAGTGTTGAGACACGTTTTTCTTGAACACACTGAGATTTTCAGTGATACATGAGTAAAGGCTTCACTTTGCAATCCCCACTAGCACTACAACATAATATGAGAGTTAGCCTGTCTTTCATAGGCTTGTGTCCTGGGAGTGCCTTTTCTTCCAGAGTAATGTAGGTCCTGTTTGGCATTTTCTTCCAGAACAGGCCTGTTTCGTCACAATTGAACACTTGTTGGGGTTGGAATTTTTCAGCTCCACCATGCCTTATTGCACTGTGTATGCCACTACAATTCTTAAATCTCTCAAACCAACCTTTGCTGGCCTTAAATTCACAATATGAGCACTAGTTCCAGGCATTTTTTTCCTGTTCACCTGGGTGTTAGTCGACTGTTGTGGGTCGCATCCTGGAGGACAAGATTAAGGACCCCAATGGAAATAAGTTACAGTCCTCGATGATGCACTGGCTTTCTTGGGTTATTCTGAGTGGCTAACCATCTGGGGTTAATTGTTTCTCAGTAATCGTTTCTCGTTAAGCCACACCAACAACACACTCTCCACATCTTCGAGTAGTGCAGCTGATGGTGGTGGAGCAACAGCTGATGGTGGTGCAGCAACAGCTGACCGTGGTGCAGCAACAGCTGACTGTGGTGCAGCAACAGCTGACGGCGGTGCAGCAACAGCTGACGGCGGTGCAGCAACAGCTGATGGCGGTGCAGCAGCAGCTGACGGTGGTGCAGCAGCAGCTGACCGTGGTGCAGCAGCAACTGACCGTGGTGCAGCAGCAACTGACCGTGGTGCAGCAGCAGCTGACCGTGGTGCAGCAGCAGCTGACCGTGGTGCAGCAGCAGCTGACCGTGGTGCAGCAACAGCTGACCGTGGTGCAGCAACAGCTGACCGTGGTGCAGCAACAGCTGACCGTGGTGCAGCAACAGCTGACCGTGGTGCAGCAACAGATGACCGTGGTGCAGCAACAGCTGACCGTGGTGCAGCAACAGCTGACCGTGGTGCAGCAACAGCTGACCATGGTGCAGCAGCAGCTGACCGTGGTACATTAGTACGTATTTCTCACCCCTTTTTACAAATGATCGCTTGAGAGATGGTATCTCCTGCTATCTGTTTTTCGTTTATCCACACCAATAACAGTCTCTCAACATCTTGAGTACGTATTTGTGATCCCTATTTCGGAAACAAACTTGCACCTTTTGCAAGAACAGCTTCCTTGATTGCCATTTTGTTGGTCACAATAGTAGCGATGGTTGATTGGGGTTTGGTATACAGCCTGGCCAGCTCCGAGACACATACTCCACTTTCGTACCTAGCAATTATCTCTTTCTTCATTTCCATAGTAATTTTCACCCGTTTTACCACAGGGTTGGCACTAGAAGCTTTCTTGGGGCCCATGGTGACTTACATTGCAGCTACGATCACTAAAAACACTGATAATATGAAATGTACCAAATGTATGCGTGGATGTAACCGCACTGGCTGGCTTGTAAACACTGGTACCCATGGGGCAGCTGAGGCGCGCTCAGGCCACACGTGGGACACGTCTTGGACGAATCGCGTGAGGCAAGGCAAAATTTTTGCGTTAAAATGTATCGTATGGCGGATTTAACGTAACGCGATGCCATCATAAGGCGGGGGTCCACTGTATATACGTATAAAAATACACAATATATCCCTCCAAACTGCCAATATCCCAAACCCCTCCTTTAGAGTGAAGGCATTGTACTTCCCATTTCCAGGACTCAAGTCCGGTTATATAAAATAACCGGTTTCCCTGAATCCCTTCACTAAATATTACCCTGCTCACACTCCAACAGCTCGTCAGGTCCCAATTACCATTCGTCTCCATTCACATCTATAAATCACATCCATTCCATCTATAAATATAATTATATAAATATATTTCTTAACTTATCTCACCAAATTTTTTTTTCTTATTTTCACCAAAATTTCTGGCCAGTACCTCTCCCACTCTTTCATCTGCTCTCCTTTTGCACTCTCTCGCTACTCTCTTCACCTTTCTTTTACTCTCCATATACTCTGCTCTTCTTACAACACCTCTGCTTTGTAAAAACCTCTCATAAGCTACCTTTTACTCTTTTATCACACTCTTCACTTCATCATTCCACCAATCACTCCTCTTTCCTCCTATAACCACAAACTTCTGTCCCACATTCTAATACTGCATTTTTAAAACTAACTCAACCCTCTTCAACATCCCCCCACTACTCATACTTTCATTAGCTCACCTTTCTGCCAATAGTTGCTTATATCTCACCCTAACTTCCTCCTCCCTTAGTTTATACACTTTCACCTCTCACTTACTTGCTGTTGCCATTTTCCTTTTGTCTCATCTACCTCTAACTGTTGCTACAACTAAATAATGATCCGATATATCCGTTGCCCCTCTATAAACATGTACATCCTGAAGCCTACCCATCAACCTTTTACCCACCAATACATAATCTAACAAATTACTTTCATTACATGCTATATCATACCTTGTATACTTATTTATCCTCTTTTTCATAAAATATGTATTACTTATTACCAAACCTCTTTCTACACATAGCTCAATTAAAGGCTCCCCATTTTCATTTACCCCTGGCACCCCAAATTTACCTACTCCTCCCTCCACAACATTTTTACCCACTTGAGCACTGAGATCTCCAACCACAAGTACTCTCTCACTTGGTTCAAAACTCCCCATGCACTCACTCAACATTTCCCAAAATCTCTTTCCTCTACAATTCTCTCTTCTCCAGGTGCATAAACACTTACTATAACCCACTTTTCACATCCAACCCTTATTTTACACCCCATTATCCTTGAATTTATACATTTATATTCCCTCGTTTCCTGCCATAACTTATCCTTCAACATTATTGCTACTTCTTTAGCTCTAATCTATTTGAAACCCCTGACCTAATCCCATTTACTTCTCCCTATTGAAACTCCCCTACCCCCCCTTCAGCTTTGTTTCACTTAAAGCCAGGACATCCCCTAAAATTTTTACAATCTGCTTTGTCTCCCTTCCCTTTACTGTAGGTAGTTTGAATAAATGAAGAATGGGTATAACTGAAAACCTCTGAAACAATGTAAAGCAGGGCCCCTCCTGTAGTCAAAATTTATCAGTCAAGAGTTACAAAGAACTAGAGTAATAAAAATGGTATTTTCATTATGAACAAAAATTAGATTTCACTTCATTTATGAGACTAAGTTTAATTTAAAGAAACAACAAGATAAGAACTTACTCTGATTTGTACAAGGAAGTCTCTAAGATGTTCCTTGAAGGCAGGAATATCTTGGTTCAGGTCATTCATGCCCTGAACTGTAATTTTTATTTGATTTTCTGAGAGGTGTGGGAAAGCAGCCTTAAGAAGGTTTGCCACAAAGCCTTGTACATAAGTGACATTAGATGTGCTGGGTGCTGAAGGATTGGCAGCATCCAGACTGATGGTAATGCGATTCTGCTCCACTAGTGTAAACATGTATGCCAATATGGATGCATGCATTGTTAAACCTGAAAGAAAAAAAGTGAACTTTTAATTTGTTGACAAATTATCAAGTGCAACCTGTCTCTTGATAAGGATTATTGAAAAGACTGGAAATTCATTGCAGTTTTGTACAGAATTATAATTATGAAGGAAAGTGTAAGTTTGTGAATGCAATTTTTCAAGAATGAAATATATCATTTAAAAGGAAATATTAGAAGGAGATTGCCTTACATGGCATGGAGAAGCTACTAAAAAGTAAAAAACTAAAAGACACCTATCAGATAATGATTGATTTAAATTTTGTAGCCCAAGTGGCTATTTTACTGTGTATCCCATATCCATCAAATGGATGGTAGTGCAAGAGCACATGGATACACAAAAAGCCTAGGAGCTAGGCCCTAAAAGAGGGTTGAGATATACAAAAGGCCTAAAAACTACAGTAGACTTCCCAAAAGGGGTTAGCAGTAGTACATCCAAATTTGTTTGTACAATTTTTTGGAGATGGTAGTGCAAGAGCATATGGATACACAAAAAGCCTAGGAGCTAGGCCCTAAAAGAGGGTTGAGAGATATACAAAAGGCCTAAAAACTACAGTAGACTTCCCAAAAGGGGTTAGCAGGAGTACATCCAAATTTGTTTGTACAATTTTTTGGAGATAAATGGTTCAAAATACTGACACTATGGAAAAGGAGAGAAATGTGTACTGGCTGTTTTCCAATGTCTCCTTAATTCTACCATAGTTCGTTTAGTAACAGTGACAAGCATGATTTTCATGCTCTACATCCACGCTGTTTTGAGTTGTACAGGTTGTTCAGTTCCATAAAGTTTGCAATTTGGAGTCTCGTCACTCTTTCAAAGATTCTTAGGATGAGCAATGTCAGAGCTACAGATCTGAAATTTTTGGCTAGTTCTCTACTGCCTCCTTTATGCAAAGGAGCTATGTCCACACTGGGATCTTGACTAAATCTAAGCTCTTCTTCCAAAGAATACTGAATTCTCATGTTTGTGGTATTTTTGCACTTCTTTATACTTAAGCCATTCCTTGAATCTGCATGAGTGGGCATGTCTTCTATTTCTTCTTGGAATTCTCCACAATTTGTGCAAATCAGTTATATGGTCTGTGTGACCAGACATAATGAAAAAATTTCTGCTCTCTCCAATCCATCGTTTAATGTATTGCTGAACATAGATGTATATTAGTCTTTTGGAATTTCACTCATTTCTCTTTCCTTGTTAGTACATGAACTTCCTGTGATTAATGGTCCAAGCCTACACAAAGTTCCTAACTTGAATTTTGCATGTGAAGAAATACTTGGGGTCCAGAAATATTCAGACAAATTTCTGTTCTCTGTGCTTCACATGTCTGATACTAAAGCTTAAATTTTTGTTTTAATTCTGTAATCTCTCAGCATCTTTCTTTTATGACATACTGTAGGTCATCACCCTTTATATGGGTTATGTTCCAGAGAAACAGATTTTTTTTTTTAATTAACACATCGGCCGTTTCCCACCAAGGCAGGGTGGCCCCAAAAAGAAAAACTTCTATTATCATTCACTCAATCACTGTCTTGCCAGAGACATACATACACTACAGTTATAAAACTGCAACATTAACACCCCTCCTTCAGTGCTGGCACTGTACTTCCCATGACCAGGAATCAAGTCCGGCCTGCCAGTTTCTCCGAATCCCTTCATGAACGTTAGCTTGCTTACACTCCAATAGCACGTTACGTCCTAAAAACGATTTGTCTCCATTTGCTCCTACCTAACACACTCACGCACACTTGCTGGAAGTCCAAGTCCCTCACACAAAAAAGCCTCCTTTACCCCCCTTCCTCCAACCTTTCCTAGGCAGACCCCTACCCTGCCTTCCCTCCACTACAGATTTATACACTCTTGAAGTTATTCTATTTCATTCCATCCTCTCTACATGTCCAAACCATCTCAATAACTCCTCCTCAGCTCTCTGGATAATAGTTTTGGTAATCCCGCACTGTCTCCTAATCTCCAAACTACGAATTCTCTGCATTATATTCACACCACACACTGCCCTCAGACATGACATCTCCACTGCCTCCAGCCTTCTCCTTGTTGCAACATTCACCACCCAGCTATATGTGAAAATGTGATGGGTGGAGTAAGCAACTAATTAAAAATTGGGATACCTCCATGACACCTAAAAAATAAAAATAAAATGATTTTTCTTTTAAAGTCATAATTCAAGTATTGTACAATAATTTTAAAGGGCATACAGATGTTATGGGCACAAATAAAGCATGATATTACAGCATGACAGTGTTTTTTTTTTTTTTTTTTCAGCATACTGGATCTCCCACTCACGTAGTGTAAAGTCAAAATCCACTTGCCTCCACTCACTCGCATCTAACACATACACAATGCTGAATATCCAAGCCCCTCACATGCAAACCTCCTCTACCCTCTTCCTGAATCTTTCCTATGATGACCCCTACTGTGCCTTCCCTCCACTATAGATTTATATACCCTTCAAGTTTTTGCTCCATCCTCTCTAAATATCCAAATCACCTGAACAACCCCTCCTCAACCCTCTGGATAAAGTTTTTAGTAACCCTGCACCTCCTACCTCCACACCATATATTCTCTGCCAAATATTTACACCACACATTGTCCTCTGACAAAATCTCTGCTGCCTCCACCCTCCTTGCTGCAACATTCATAATCCATGCTTCACCTAAGAATGTTGATACCACTATATTCTCATACATTCTCCTTTTTGCCTCCATGGATAATGTTCTTTGTCTCCACAGATTCTTCAATGCACCACTCATTCCCCCCCCCCATCAAATCTATGGTTCACCTCGTCTTTCGTTCACCCATCTGCCGTTAAGGCCAAATATCCAAACACATTCACTTCCTCCTTACCCCTTCCTTCCAAGCTGATATCCAGTATTTCATTACCTAAGTATTTTGTTACCCATTGTCATCTTAAAACAAACAAAAAACCACAATCAATAATGCAATTTCATAAAAAAATCAAGATTTTTTTAACCCTCCAGAGATAAAAGAGTAATTACTAATATGTCCTGTCTTAGAGGAAGCTGAACGTTTTAAAAAATGACTGCTGAACAACAGGCCTGTGGAGCCCACATCAGACACCATGATACATACACTAACAGCCTTACTAACCAAACTATCATCCAGGAGGTCTAGTTATACCACAAGGAATGATCCTGCTTGTGCATTTCAGTAAACACTTACTGCACAACAATGAAAATTCATCACAGCTTCTCCTCACTTAACGATGGAGTTCCGTTCCTAAGAACACATCAGTAAACGAATTTGTCACTAAGTGAGGAACATACTATAATGGTAGTGGGTTTGTGAAAACCATCTTTGATACTGTTTTAATGTCACCTTTGCACCATTTAAAACATTTCTGGTATATTTTTAAATGTTTATACAGTAGTGTACGGCATATTGTAATAAACAGAATAGAGGAAATCAGCTCTAATATGCATTATTTAGGTATGCATACTGGTCAGAGAGCCTGTCACAAGTCCGAGTCGTCAATAAATGAGTACGTCGCTAAGTGAGGAGCGGCTGTAATATAAAAAAAAAGGGGATTTAACTTACCAGCAGTGTGTGAAGAGTCTGTAACTACAGAGAAAATATGCTGCAGAATATCCGTGTAATACGTCTGGTAGAAGCTGCTGGCAGCACGTTCATGTGCCGAGATATTCTGTAATAACTGATAAAGGATTTGCAAACCAGTATCTGCAACATTACGCATGGTGTGCTTGAAAGCCCATATAATGGAATCCAGCACAAGCTTGAATTGAGCTGGTGGAATATTGAGCAGAGCTGAGAAGCAGTGTGTATTGACAGCCTGAAAAAAAAAAAAAAAAATAACGATGTCTAATATTATCATAGTACAGTCGAAAACCATATTCACAAGGGTTAAGTTCCTAGAGTTCTCCTGAACCTGTAATCTGTGAATAAAGTAAACTCATATTGTGCTTCTAAATTTCTCACTGATGATAAATCTGAAATTTGAATCTAAAAACCTCTGCAAATTTGAATGAGTGCTCTTGAAATAAGAGTTTAAAAAAACAGCTCAGTCTAGACAAAGTTTCTGTTAAGGGATTTCTACTGCCTGGGTTAAGCCAGCTGCTGACACAGGCCAGGTGTGTGCTAGCATCTGGTTCACTCTGACATAGCAGACATAAAAACTTTCAACAACACATTTCTACACCAATTTATTAAAGACTTTTTTTTTATGTGCTTTTATATTAGATAAATGTTTCTAGGTGTGGCAAGTTTGTGTTTTTTAAAACTTGGTTAGGTAAATGTGACTTGTACTGATTTTTTGTTTTCAACAATTCGGCCGTCTCCCATCGAGGCAGGGTGACCCAAAAAAGAAAGAAAATCCCCAAAAAGAAAATACTTTCATCATCATTCAATACTTTCACCACACTCACACATTATCACTGTTTTTGCAGGGGTGCTCAGAATACAACAGTTTAGAAGCATATATGTATAAAGATACACAACATATCCCTCCAAACTGATGTTGGCAGATAATGGTGATAGTTCATGCCGCCTGCCACACACAGCCACAGCCTTTACACCAGGCTTCCCTTGTTACTGACCAGGGCATATTTAGGGTTTAAACTATAAAAATAGACATTTTTTAACAGCGTCCAGAATTTGTGTTTTTTACAAATTCGTGGGAGGTCTTGGGATGTAACCCCCGCGAATCTGGAGATGACTACCTGTTTATACCTTTTTTTCCTTCCTGCCTTATCACCAAACCTCTTTCTATATACAGTGGACCCCCGGTTAACGATATTTTTTCACTCCAGAAGTATGTTCAGGTGCCAGTACTGACCGAATTTGTTCCCATAAGAAATATTGTGAAATAGATTAGTCCATTTCAGACCCCCAAACATACACGTACAAACGCACTTACATAAATACACTTACATAATTGGTCGCATTCGGAGGTAATCGTTATGCGGGGGTCCACTGTATAGTTCAATTAGAGGGCCCCATTAGTATTTGCCCATGGCACTCCAGACTTGCCTAGTATGCTCTCTACAACAGTTTTTCCCACTGAGCATTTAGGTCCCCTGATTATTTTCTCACTTCGTTTAAGTCCCTAAACATTCGCTTAAAATCTAAAATCTCTCTCCTCTGTGCACCTCTCTTCCCCAGGTGCAAAAATACTATGACCCATTTCTCACATCCCACCCTGATTCTAGTTCAATCATTTCTTAAATTTATACACCTATACTCTTTCTCATTCACTACCATAGTTGCACTACAAGTGCAACTAATGTGACATTTTATTATGACAATGTTTCACTCTCCAGGAGCTTTAACAAGCCATATGGCTTGATAAAGCTCCTGGAGAGCAAAGCATTGCCACAATAAAATGTCACATTAGTTGCACTTGTGTCCGTTTACCTAACATATTGTCGGTAAGTCTACCAACATTAATATTTTCCCTTATCCATACTACACTCACACACATTCAAACATCAACTTTGTAGTGACTTAAATACATCTAGTTTTTGTCAAGAATCAGTCCAGCCAAGGAGTTGTTAATGAACCTTGTGAGGAAGGATTCCCTCCACTTCCCCATGGAGATAAAGAGAAATACAGTGGACCCCCGGTTATCGGCTGGTTCTGTTATCAGCCAACTCAGTGATTGGCCGGTTTTTCGGCGCCCGATTATCGCTCATTAATTCAGTGATCGGCCATTTGGATGGGGCAGCTTGCGCGTCAGTTTGGCTGTCTCTTTCGGTGGCTGAGGAAGCTTCTGCTCATAAATCCAAACATTTTGCTTATTTCCCATTGTAGGGTGTGTTATTTTTGCAGTGCAACTGTGAAATAAGTAACCATGGCTCCAAAGAAAGTTCCTGTGGTAAAGAAAGCAAGAAACACTATGGAATTTAAGCATGAAGTGATAGAAAAGTTTGAGAGTGGTGGAACTTGCCAGGATGTACAGCAAGAATAAATCAACAATTACATCCATCCTGGCAAAGAAAGAACAAATCAAGGATGCTAATGTTGCAAAAAGAGTAACTTTTCTAACTAAACAAAGGCCACCAATAATGGAAGAGATGGAAAAGTTATTATTATTGTGGATTAAGGAAAAAGAATTAGTGGGAGACAGTGCTGTGGAGTCGATTATTTGTGAGAAGGCAAGGCAGTTACATGAGGATCTTGCAAAGAAAATGCCTGGAACAAGTGCTGCAGATTGTGAATTTAGAGCCAGCAAAGGATGGTTTGATAGATTTAAGAAGTGTAGTGGCATACACCATGTTGCAAGGCATGGTGAGACTGCAAGTTCTGATAAATGTGCGGCTGAAAAATTCGTGCAGGAATTCCAGGGGTACACAGAGGCTGAAGGATTCAAACCCCAACAAGTGTTCAACTGTAATGAAACAGGCTGTTTTGGAAGAAAATGTCAAACAGTACCTACATTACCCAGGAGGAAAAGGCACTGCCAGGACACAAGCCTATGAAAGACAGGCTTATTCTTTTGTTGTGTGGTAATGCTAGTGGGGATTTCAAAGTGAAGCCTTTAATTGTGTATCATTCAGAAAATCCCAGTGTTAAAGAAAAACAATGTCATGAAGAATCAATTGTGTGATGTGGAAAGCTAATCATAAGGCATGGGTCACAGGGCAAATTTTCAAAGAGTGGTTAATGATGTGTTTGGCCCAAGTGTGAAAAAATACCTCCTGGAAAAGAAATTGCCATTCAAGTGCCTCCTGGTAATGAACAATGATCCTACACATCCTCCAGACTTGGAAGACCAAGTGTTTAGGGACTTCAATTTTATAAAAGTGAAGTTCATACCCCCTAACACCACTCTTCTCATCCAGCCCATGGACCAGCAGGTCATTTCTAACTTCAAAAAACTACACAAAAGCAGTGTTTCAAAAGTAATTTGAAGTGACCTCAGACACTCAGTTGACCCTAAGAGAGTTCTGGAGGAATCAGTTCACTATCCTCCATTGCATAAGCCTTATAGGTAAGGCTTGGGAGGGAGTGACTTCCAGGACTTTCAACTCTGCTTGGAGAAAACTGTGGCCAGATTGTGTCCAAGAGAAGGATTTTGAAGAGTGAGGCTGACGCTGACCCTGCCAACCCTGTGACTATTGTGGCACTGGGGAAGTCCCTGGGGTTGGAGGTGAGTGGCGAGAATGTGGAAGAGTTGGTGGAGGACCACAGGGAAGGGCTAACCACTGAAGAGCTGCAAGAGCTTCAATTTGAACAGCAACAGACTGCAGCTGAGGAACTTGCTTCAAAGGAGGAAGAGGGAGTGAAGGAGGTGCCTTCTTCATTGATTAAGAACATAAGTGCAAAGTTTTGTCAAGTACCACCATCCTGACAAAGCTGAAACAAGCCATATCTGCAACATATTTTGTGACAAAACCCTGTCCCACTTCAGGAAAATCCTAGAGGTATGTCAGAAACAGCACTCTGGAGAGTTATTTTGTGAGACAGGGGTCCAGTGACTCTCAAGCTGGTCCTAGTGGCATTAAAATACAAAGAAGGGAAGTAACCCCAGAGAAAGCTTTGCTACCTAAAGTCTTTATGGAGGGGGGATTACCTTTCTAAACAGAAGCTCCTCCCTCTTTCCTCCTCCCTATCTTCCAGAAGCCAGCATTAGCCTTCAATAAAGGTATGTAATATTTATATAATTGTTAAAAAAAAAAATTTTTTTTTTTTGCAAAGATTTTTGTCTGGAAAGGATTAATTGTATTTACTTTAATTCTAAGGGGAAATATTATTTTGGTTTTTGGCCGACCTTTTGGAACGGATTACAGCTGATAACAGAAGGTCCACTGTACAAGAAAACTAACTATTAAGAAATGCATGAAACAGTAATTCTACCACTGTGTAAAACAATTCTAAGTTTCCATTTCACATTCATTTACCAAGAAAACAGTACCTCCCTGGATGGATGCTGTCTACCAACCTACTACCAAGCTGCATGTATTATTATATTTGTGGTGAGGTCCTTAACTCATAAGAGGGAATGAGAAATCGGAGGCAATCAGGTCTGATCCAAAGAAGTAAGAAGAAACTCAAATTCAGTCAAACAAGAACCTTTCACCAACCTCACAGCCTTGCCCTTGAAGGGACCACAGTCTAAAAATTATTCTTTCATGGAGGAGCTATGTGTCAAGTTAACCTATGTATATGATATCGCTCAACTGGTAGAGAACAGTTAAATTAATAATGATCAGTCCATTAACCCTTTCTATGTCCAAACTCCCAATCTGAAACTTGTTTATAGTGTCCAAGAATTTTCAATTTTTTTTTTTTTTTATGAAATGGTAGAGAAGCTTTTTCTGAAGGTAATAAAACAAAGTACAAAATTTGATCGAAAACTGACAAAATTACACTTTCGCAAATTACACTGTTCCAGTTGACCAAATTCTTAGCTAATTTGCTAGTATGTCTTCCATTTTATTGACTGAGCACAAGAAATGGCCCAATCAACTAATTCAACTACCCAATAAAGTGATCAGAATTTAGTAATTTGGCCAATTTCACACAAATTTCAAAATAGGGTCTAGAATAAACAATGCAGGAATTCCTGGAACTAACATTTCCTCCGTTCATTAGTTACGTTTCCAGGCTTTACACATGAATTCCATTTTAATTTTTAATTCACACAAAAAAATACAAGATATACTGTTATGCAATACTGTAATAATTGTATAAATAATATAAGTGCATTCTTTTTTTTTTTTTTTCAACAAGTCGGCCGTCTCCCACTGAGGCAGGGTGACCCAAAAAAGAAAGAAAATCCCCAAAAAGAAAATGCTTTCATCATCATTCAACACTTTCATCACACTCACACAT